TATTACTCAAAACAATTTGATTATAGAACAAATACAACAGCCAATGATCTTGTTGTCCCAAATGGGAGGTCTTGGGTTTGAGCCTCGGTGGAACATTATTAACTCTTTAACTTGAACAGATACTACATTAAAAAAAAATGCTGGAATGGACCCTTTTCATTCAACGGCCTCTGTGCATCATATCAAATAATTAATATTCCTGGTATATATAATATATTGTTGCATGGGATTAGCATGCACGCCGCCGCAGTTCTTGCATGCATATATATGATTCTGAGGCGTTGATGAATCCACGTTAGGGCTCCTATATATACCTTATCTCCTCTCACATGGCACCAAAAAATGGGCACCCTTCTCAACTCATCTTCTATATATATCCATCTCTTTCACTTGCAACATGCCTTCCATTCTTCTTTATCTATCATATCATATCCCTTCATATATTCCATCTCATCTTCTGCATTATCAAATCAACTATCTGATTAGCTCAGTATAATAATGGCGAAGAGAGTAGGGTTTTGGCCGGGCCGGAAAACAGCGCCGAAAGGGCACTTCGTGGTGTACGTGGGAAGCGAAATGACGAGGTTTGTGGTTCCTATGTGTGTGTTGAAGAATGTTTTGTTCCAGGATTTGCTTCGCAAGGCTGCAGATGAATATGGCTTTGATTGCAGCAGTAAACTCCTCCTTCCTTGCGATGAATTCACTTTTCGTCGCCTCATTGCCTCCATAGTCGACTAGCCGCCATGCCCTAAGCTGATTTACCTCATTATAGTTATTTTCACTTAGTATATATTCTCGAGTAGTGGCTGACGTAGCTAGGTTTCGGTCGTCATCACTCAAAAACTTATTATATATGACATGCATAAATTGTACTTGCGAGTACGTACGATGATGTTGGTCGATGGAATTGACAATGTAAGTAGGTGTACTGTGTTGATCTTAGCATGCACGCATGCATGGTTAATTCAATATATATGTGTATTAGTTTATAGAGTTCTCTACTACATGTATTCTCAAATCTTACTCCTTGATGTGGCGAACTTGATAGGTTATTTTCTTCATATTGACTCCTGTAAAAGTGTCTATATTAATATTTTAAGTGTGAAACTACAAGTGAAGAGTATGGAATGGAAGTATATGTGGTATTTTCCTAGTTTATATTATGAGGTTGTTGGAGAGTAGCTAGCTAGCTAGCTACTCCACCACTAAATTTTCCGTTGCTTCAAGTATATATGAGGCTTTTTTTTTTTTTTTTTTTTTTCTTTTTACATCTTGCTGGATAAGACTAATTCAATTGATCTGAGTTTATTGAGTATATGTCTGAATAGGAGTAGAGCAAATTTGATCAGGCTCATAATACAAGGTATTTTTGTCTTGTACATGTTTAGGGTTGCATATAAATTATATATATATATATATATATATATATATATATATATATAAAAGCAATGTTGAAAAAAATCGCTAGGCACCCTCTAAGCCCCCGAGGACTGCCTAGGGCTCCTAGAGCGCCTAGGAGGCTGACCGCCTAGTGTCTAGACGCGATTTTTGCAACACTGAATAAAAGAATACAAATAGCTTTACTCATGATGTGGATAAAACCACCATAGTTCAGTACGGTAGAATACTAGATTGACCGATCGAATAATGTGACCGGGAACCTCTTAAATACAAAGTCTAAAGTAGGTAAAAAGTCCTTTCCTAAGGCAATAAATGCAGTATTTATAGGAGACCTAAGAGCAGCGTCTGGCCTTTCGGCATGGCGGGCACGTGGCATTCATGCACCGGGTCTTGAGAAGGCGAGCATGCAGCCGTGCACGTGGCGTGCGTCTTCCGACAGCAGCGGGGGCCTTTAATCCGGACGAGGGTAGGCTCTGGGCCTTTACTGTCACCCCTCCCGATCACCGGCCACCACCAGAGGAGAGGAGGACTCCTGAGCAGCGGGTATGATGTAGACGACCGGGCAACCGGGCATAAGCCGGAGCATGCCGCTGACCGGGCTGGATGACTCACGAACAGCAAGTACGAAGATAGACGAGCGCGTGATCGGGCAGAGTTTAAGGCGCGCCTTTGACCAGGCTGGATGATCTGTACGTGCAGGATATAATCCCTATCAACTCCTATAGGCGGAAACACACACACACACACACACACACACACACACACACACACACACACACATATATATATATATATATATATATATATTACTAAACTACGACGTAAATCTTGCCTTCTTTATTTTCCATCATTATTATTGTTTCTTGTTTTAGTTAATCTAAAGTAAGTCTAATTATTGGAGCTATTTGAGGCAGCAATATATAGCTCCGACCCCTAGTATATATGCCTTTCATTTTTGAGTTTGCATGTATTATGTATGTTCATGGTTTGTATAAATTAAACTTTACGGACCACATAGTACATCGAAATTTCTTTTACATTATTTACAGAATCTTTTATGCAGTATGAACTTGTGTTATATTTTAAAATTTGAAAATGTTTTTAGTAGAGTCTTTATTTGTATTTCTTCTCCTATTGTTTGGATAAAATATAAGAGCTACTGCCGCCCTGAAAGGAGTGATCGAGTGAGTGAAACATAATTCGAGTACAAGAAAATCAGAAGTTCAATTATTATCAACACCTTAGTTTGTTGAAGCCTTAGAAGTTAAGAGATAGGTAAGAATTGAAATATATATAGTCGACAAGATATAATAGGATAAGTTACTTAAGATCCGACCAGAACCCAGAGTATAGCAACGAGCAAACATAACGGTGGTCTTTGCACACTTAATGCACGGCTATTATACTTATTAGAGCACTACCTCATTAAAGAGTCATTTTTCAATATAAAAATTAGAAGCATGTGATAGCACTATAGCAGGGACACTCTCAATCTAGTTTGTACTCAAAACTCTTTTAGTAATACAGCTACTCACTTGCTTACTCTTTCGTAAGCATATTTCGATAATTTTATTACCTAGAGAAACCTAAAACAAGACAATAATATGGCGTGAAATATTATCATATTTGATCGATCTATAAATTAAAATTCACGTGGACTACCAAAAAAAAAAAGGTTGTTGATGCATGACTGATATGTATGCTTGAGGTTGCTTAGGAAATCAAGAAAATAATATGGCGTGAAACAATATATTGATGTGTCTTTAAGCTTTTAGCATGTGGATACCATCACTAGCTAGCTACCTGGCCTACTATTATTATTCAATGTTACAGAAGACGCTAGTCAAACGTTTGGCCACAAGAGCACCTAAGCGATCAGTAATATGAGTATATTGTCTCTATTTTTTCACTTAGGGTTAGGAATTGTTAGACTGTTATAATCTCTCTAACTAGTCAATTACATATATTAGATGGTGAGTACATGGTTGGAGAAATATAAAAGAGGAGTAGCTGAGTAGGCAAAAGAAACAACTCGGCCAAGTTGAGCGCCACAAACTAGTCGACTACATATATTAGATGGTAAGTACATGGTTGGAGAAATATAAAAGAGGAGTAGCTGAGTAGGCAAAAGAAATAACTCGACCAAGTTGAGAGCCAACTTGATCGAGTTTGGCGCTCAACTCGACTGAGTCGACGCTTAGGGCATCCCCAATAGAAGAATTTTGCACAAATTTTAAGAGAAAAATGACAAGGTGAGGAGAGAGGAGAGAGAGGGATCGAGTCTTCCTGCTAAAATGGGAATTTTGCAGAACGGGTGGGTCCCACTATGGGAGAGAAACATGCGCCTCAGGCCCTCACGTGAGTGAGGCGCAATTCTCGTGCCAGGCTGGTGCGTGCACTGCACGCGCTCGCCTGTGCACGTAAATATATATATTTTTTGTTTGTTTGTTTGTTTTTTTTTTTTTTTTCAAATTTTAATTTTTTTTCCTCTCTTCCCATTTTCTCTTTCTTAATTACACCTGTAAAATCCCTTCAGAATCTTCACACTATTAAGGATGCCCTTAGGGGGCCTAATCGGTCAGCCAACTAAAAGCCGCCTAAGACTACTGAAATCGCCTCGGCCTAGGGGCACCTAGGTCATTTTTTATAACATTGGTATTATTATAAAACGGTATAATAACGAGCTAGTGACTTCTTAGAAGAGTCATGTTTCACCCACTTAACTACTTCTAATTAATTTAATTTTGATTATATTGATTATATGATAAATGTGAATGGACTTGGTTAATTTTAATCAATCATAGGATTAAACCAACGGCTCTCAACACTCGCCTTTTTTTTTTTTCCTCTTCCTGCATTTTGCATTGTGCTTCATCTCTCCTGTTAGCTTCCATTCTCTCTTTCTCTCCTCCCGGCGATCTCGCCGGCTCTCAGACAGCCCATACCGCCGGAAACACCCTCGCTTTCGTCTTGCTCCAAGTACCCATCATAGTGCTTCTGTTCCTTGTCTGTACAAATTAAAGCTCCTGGAGATCTGACTTGGCTCTTCTCAATTGGTAACTCGTTACTTCCCAAGTCCCAACAAGTCTGTCTTTAAGCATTGGGTTTCTAATTTTGTGTTTCATTGCATTCGGATCCTAAAGTAAATTTCTTTTACAGTACATTTTGGTTTGAAAAATGAAGCTTATTTTGAGATGACGCTACTCTAAAGGAATTAAGTTTGTGGTTTTTCATTTTAGGCTATGTTTATTAAGGCCCTATTTTGTAACATAGTTAGATTATCAGTCAATTTTCGCTTATCTGATCCCTATTAGCTGTTTGATTTAGTTAAACAATCAATATGAGTGTTTGATTAATTAGCTTTTTATAACAACTTATTGCTCTAAATGCTAAAATTCAAAAAGTTGCTCAAAGTAGCTTTTTCGATCAGCTTTTTGAGAAAGTCATTTTGCATGTAAATTTTGAGAAAGTCATTTTGCATATCAACTAGCATTAATTTACCAAACACTTTTCTACAATCAGCTAATATTATCAACTAGTCAAACTACTAACCCAATCAGCTAATAGCCATTTAGTCATTTACCAAACACCCCCTTTATTTTTTGGGACCAGTATACTTATCAGCTAACCTAAAGTTTTACTTCTCTGGTGATTGCTGAAAATTTGTACAAGTAGTAAAGTTTGAAACTTTATCTATTGGATGAGGACATAATGATTTGGAACTAATTCTTTCATTTTGTCCTTTTGGGGTAACATGTTTTACCATTCTGTTTCCTTGGCAATTTAGGTTCTGAAATTGTTGTCTGTAATATCTGTATGTTTGTTTGGCAATTAGTATTCTGTATGTAATATCTAGTGATATATGAGGGTGGTTTGAGTTGAACAGAAGAGGGGGGAGTATGGATAATCATAGTGCTAAAGAACATGGACTGAAGAAGGTGAGCTCCCATTGCTCCATCTCAGAGATGGATGACTATGATCTCTCGAAGCTCCTCGACAGGCCAAGGCTGAACATAGAGAGGCAGAGATCCTTTGATGAGAGATCGCTAAGTGAGTTGTCCATTGGCCTAGCAAGAGGGTTAGACCACGAAAACGCTTACTCACCTGGCAGGTCCATATTGGACACCCCTCTTTCATCTACCAGGAACTCTTTCGATCCCCATCCAATGGTAGCAGAGGCCTGGGATGCTCTCCGCCGCACATTGGTTCATTTTAGAGGCCACCCCGTTGGCACAATTGCTGCCAACGACCATGCTGGAGAAGAGGTCCTAAACTATGATCAGGTTAATTTATTGTTCTATATTGCATAGTTTTCATGTTATTTACTATGATCGGGGCTTTATTCTTGACAATGATTGTACTTAGTATTGGGATTTTAGAGGCTGCTAATTGGATGCAGGTTTTTGTTCGAGATTTTGTGCCTAGTGCCCTGGCCTTCCTAATGAATGGTGAGACAGATATACTTAAGAATTTCCTCCTAAAGGCACTTCTCCTTCAAGGTTGGGAAAAAAAAGTCGATAGATTCAAGCTCGGGGAAGGTGTTATGCCAGCTAGTTTTAAAGTTCTACATGATCCAGTTCGCAAGACAGATACAATAATAGCAGATTTTGGAGAGACAGCCATTGGAAGAGTAGCTCCAGTTGACTCTGGATTTTGGTGGATTATTCTTCTTCGTGCGTATACAAAATCTACCGGAGACCTAAGTCTTGCTGAATCACCGGAATGCCAGAAGGGGATGCGGCTTATATTGTCACTGTGTTTGTCAGAAGGGTTCGATACATTCCCCACTTTGCTGTGTGCTGATGGCTGCTCAATGATTGATAGAAGAATGGTAAATTATCATTTAGTCTTACTTTAATTGCTCAAAAAAATATTCTTATAATATGCATTACACACACAACATATTTAATCCATCTTACTACCAATGACCTTGTGGTCTAGTGGCACGAAGTGGCTCTCCCAAATGGTAGGTCATGGGTCAACCCATCCCTAGTGGGGGCAGTATTGACTCTTTGTGCTTCAGTAGGTTCAGTATTGATTCTTAGTGCTTCAGTAGGTTCAGTATTGACTCTTTGTGCTTCAGTAGGTTCAGTATTGATTCTTTGTGCTTCAGTAGGTTGAGAAAGTAGCTATGAACAGATACTACAATGTAAAAGAGTCAATAGTACTCAAAAAAGAAAAAATCGATCTTACTTTTGATTTCGGATGCTTTTGGTTTGTAGCCTTCAAAGGAGTCATTTTTTTTTTTTTTTTTTTTTTTTTTCATATTTTTAGGGAGTTTATGGTTATCCCATTGAAATTCAAGCGCTCTTCTTCATGGCGTTGAGGTGTGCTTTGGCAATGTTAAAGCCGGATGCAGAAGGGGAAGAATTTATCGAGAGAATAGTAAAACGCCTACATGCCTTGAGTTACCATATGAGAAGTTACTTCTGGCTTGATTTCAAGCAGTTAAATGACATATACCGTTATAAAACCGAAGAGTATTCTCATACAGCAGTAAACAAGTTTAATGTCATTCCCGATTCAATCCCAGACTGGGTATTCGATTTTATGCCTACACGCGGTGGTTACTTTATTGGAAATGTTAGTCCCGCGAGGATGGATTTCAGGTGGTTTGCTTTAGGTAACTGTGTTGCCATCTTGTCTTCTCTTGCCACTCCCGAGCAGGCTTCTGCAATCATGGATCTTATAGAGTCACGCTGGGAGGAGCTGGTCGGGGAAATGCCCTTAAAGATATCTTACCCGGCACTGGAAAATCATGAATGGAGAATTATAACTGGCTGTGATCCCAAAAACACGAGATGGAGCTACCACAACGGAGGATCTTGGCCAGGTTTGCCCTCGATAAACTGCACCTCCTAGTAGAACATACCTTTTCGTTTACCTACTGTCCCTCCCAGCACCTGCCAGTCTTAACTGTTTGTTGGAACTCAACCTATGCTCTGATACCACTTTGTTAGGAAGCATTTGAACACCTACAGCATTGTGTAACGCGATTTCCATGTCATAAATGCAGTGCTGTTGTGGTTGCTTACGGCTGCCTGCATCAAGACAGGGCGGCCACAGATTGCGAGACGAGCCATTGACCTCGCTGAGAGCCGGTTGCTGAAGGATAGCTGGCCAGAATATTACGATGGAAAAGCAGGAAGGTATATTGGTAAACAAGCTAGGAAACAACAGACATGGTCGATCGCGGGATATCTGGTGGCGAAGATGATGCTAGAAGATCCTTCACACCTGGGGATGATCTCCTTGGAAGAGGACAAGCAAATGAAACCTGTACTCAAGAGATCATCTTCATGGACTTGCTGATATGGCAGAAAACTAGAAATAGTAGACAAAGGGATCCAGAAACACAAGAGGTGAGTGACCCTTTTTTGTTTTGTTACCAAAAAAAACACTGTTAGTTTCTGGGACAATTTCTGTCCTTTTTGGTTTTTGAAATGTCTTTTTTTCTGATTCATTATATATGTTTTGAATCTATTCATGTTTATGTACCTTAGTTTGGATAAAATAATTATATAAATATAAATATAAATATATATAGGTCCATAATCAGGTGAGAACCAATGGGGACTGCAAACTTGTTAAGGATTGCACCGCACTTATTACATGATTGCACCGCACCCAAATACAATTGCAGGCATGTCTGAGAGTCATAGCAGTGCAATCATGTAGTAGTTGCAGTGCAATCATGTAGTAGTTGCAGTGCAATCCTCCACAAGTTCGCAATTTGCAGATTAAGATTGGTTCTTACCTGATTAGAAATAAATAAATAAATAAATAAATAAATATATATATATATATATATATATATATATATATATATATATATATCCAATTTTGATAGTGATGGGATAATGAATTAACAAATAAATAAACAATAGTTCATTCCTAGTCCACATAGGAGTATGATAAAATTAAATCCCTTTCTTAATCAAATAACGTTTTAAATTGTGTATAATCCTGAAGCTTTACATGTATAAGATCCTATAAATTAACTATCAGAAAAGAAGTTATAAGGTTTGTTTCTCATGTTTGATTCATAAATTTATAATTGTAAGATTTCTTTAAAATCTTTACTTATAAGAGGGTTTTTGGTTTATTAGAAAATTTATTTGGAAAAACTAAAGTTTCTAAACTTTGAGGAAAATTGAATTATTTTATTATGTTTGGTTCATGGAAAATATTTTTCAATGAAATCTGATATTTTTGCTTCCACATAAAGATCAAGATTGAAAGAATTGCAATCGGGAACGTCTGATCAAGACCACAAACCCTAATACATATCCTTTTTAAGAAAGCCCTAATTCTTCACTTTTTGGGGATAGATACTGCTCCAGAGGGAGTAGGGGCTCGAGAAAATAGTCAGCAATGTCTAGTTCCATTGCTAAAAGAGGTCGTGGAAGACCTAGAAAAACTTCCATAAAAAGTGATGTTTGCCCTTACACAACATCAAAGAAATCCATGATCAAGATTAAAGTTTTTGGAAAACAGGAGTATTGGGACCATGTCGTATCTCCGACAATACCCAAGAAACCTAGGACCAAGAATACAAGTATCTTGAATCATAAACAACAATATTGGGGACAACGTTATCTTCTTGATCATAATACAAATCCAAATCCAATCTCACAGAAAGAATTCGAAGGAGTACCATTTCTTGATCTTGATGCAAGCCCGATTAATACCGTATCATCATTGTCGTTATCCAGTTCTGTTGATAAATTGAAGCCAATTTCATCACAAAACGAAGTTGAAGCAGTGTTCACTAGTTCTTCTTCTTCGGAGTTGAAGATTAGTTTGTCCACGCCACTTTCTGAATACATCATCCCCGGACCTATTCCAGACAATATTGATGAGTTGGCATGGCCGGATGAAGATATGAACCGTAATTTTTGGAAAGACATCCCATATTTTGAAGAATAACTTCATCTGATCTCTTAATTAATATATCTACTTATCTACAAATTGTTGTTGGTAAAGTGAATGTTTACCGTTCATATGCCATGACTCTATGCACCTAATGTAACAATGGCAACATAGAAAATATATATAACTCAGAATTTTATTTTTTATTTTTTTTTACTTAATTTTCTTCTTGAAATTTTTTTTTTTTGATTTTACTAAAAGATTTCTATCTAATAAAAATTTGTAATATAATTTCTTTTATATATATATATATATATATATATATATATATATATATATATATATATATATATATTATCCAATTTCCACCGAAAAATTATAAATTTATAATTTTTTTAAAAAAATAAAATTGAACAAAAGTCTATTGTTTTTGGTTTTCTGAAATGCCTACTTTTTCTGGTTCATTATATATATGTTCTGAACCTATTTGGCTATTTGTGTTTATGTAACTTAATTTTATTTATGCATACAAAATACAAAGCAATAGCTTAATAAGAAGTGTTACTTTGGTAAAATCCATAAAAGCAATTCATATGTATATATGTACTGTCTACCTCTCTCCGTTCATATACAATAGTTATGCTGTGCAACCGAATATACCATGCGCATGGTGCATACGGTTCAAAACGATGTCGTTTTGATTAAAAACGCGCGTCCCACTTAAAAAAAAAAATTCAGGTTCGACTCTCAGCAATAGCATTATTGTGAATATATAGTTATGAAATTGTGGATATATAGTTACGAAATTGTGGTTATATAGTTATGAATTTATGGATATTTAGTTCATTCATTGTGGATATTTAGTTCAATCATATATTGTGAATATTTAGTTCATTCATTGTGGATTTTTACTTCATTCATTAACTGTGGATATATAGTTATGAAATTGTGGATATATAGTTATGAAATTGTGGTTATATAGTTATGAATTTATGGATATTTAGTTAATTCATTGTGGATATTTAGTTCAATCATATATTGTGGATATTTAGTTCATTCATTGTGGATTTTTACTTCATTTTTACTTCATTCATTCATTCATTGTGGATTTTTACTTCATTCATTCACTGTGGATATATAGTTATGAAATTGTGGATATATAGTTATGAAATTGTGGTTATATAGTTATGAATTTTTGGATATATAAAAATGCTATTGCCGAGAATCGAACCTAGTTTCTTCTTTAAGTGGAACGCGCGTTTTTTTAACCAAAACGGCGCCGTTTTGCAACCGTATGCACCTTGCAAGGTGCATTCGGTTGCACAGCATAATTTGCGGTTCACATAGGAACAGGAAATAAGGAAACAAACAAATCAGAAATTCAATATACGAAAATACGAAATGCGTGGGAAAAGTACTAAATATATATAAATATTAATCATGTACTCATTTTTTAAAAAATATTTTTAAAATTAGAGAAATTATTTTGAAACACTTTTTGAAATTTACGAAAATTTGTGGGAAGAAACATTCAAATGCTAATTTTTAAGAGTTTTCAAACGATAAAATTAAATCTCTTTCCGAATCAAACAACGATTGTTAATTAATTGTTTATAATTTTAAAGCTCAACATGTATATAAATTCACTACCAAACAGTAATATGGCATATCATATACTTCAAAGATTTGATTCATAAATTTGGTTCATGTATTTATAATTGTATTCTTGAAAATTATTTTCTTAAAAATCTTTATTTATAAGGTAATATAATAATAAATTTATTCTCAATCATGTATAAAATTCAAGATCAAAAGTGAAAGAATTGCAACAATAACTTATGACCAAGATCACAAGCCCTAGTACTTATTCCTCCTCAAGCTGAAATGAAGTTGAAGAATCTAAGGCTCTATTGACATTAGTTGATGCATCACCATTTCATAAACAGTAATACAAATTCATATTTTTTTTGCATCCAAGAAGTTGTCTAGCTACTTAAAAGGTAAGATCCTTGATATCCTCATTATCACTTAAAAGAGATTTTTCTCAACACAATCTTTGTAATTTCTATGTTGAATTTATGGATTTTTGTTAAATTTTTTTGGGTGATACAAGGTAATGACAAGTTGTTACATTACTAAACGAGGTAGTGTAAGATCCAAAAATGCTTCTATAGAAGCTGATGTTTGCACATACACAACACCTAAGAAATTCAGAATCAAGATTAAAGCTTTGGGACGACAACATGATTATTGCGAGCATGTTATTTCTCCAACAATACCTAGGAAACCTAGGACCAAGGGTACAAGAATCTTGAATCGTAAGTAAACAATCATCTTGGGGACAACGTTCTCTTCCTGATTATAATCCGAAGCCAAATCCAATCTCACATAAAGAAGTTGAAGGAGTGCGGATCTTGGTTCGGAACGAGTTAACACCAGATTATCATTGTTATCTAGTTGTGCTAATAAACCGAAACCAATTTCATCAGAAAACGAAGTTGAAGGAGTACTCATTGGTTTTTCTTCTCCAAAGTTGAAGATTAGTTCATCTACATCACTTTCGGAATACATCATCCCAGGAACTATTCCGAACAATATTAATTAGTTGGCATGGGATGAAGATATGAACCTTCATTTTTGGAAAGACATCTCAGATTTTGAAGAATAAATTTATCTCATCTCTTAATTAATATAGTGTATCTACTTATTTACAAATTGTTGTTGGTAAAGTAAGTATTTACAGTTTATATGTCATCAATCTGTGCACCTGATGTAACAATGACACCATAGAAAATGTATGCAATATTGTTATATTGGGGTGATATTGAGAATTTTATTTTATTCTATTTTTTTTTTGGAAGAAAGGAATTAATTCATTAAGTCAGAAGAAATACAATCCAAAAGAAACAGAAGATTATCCAACCACTCCTCACAATCTGACATAGATAGGACCTCCCGAGCTCTCCTCACAATCTGACATAGATAGGACTTCCTGAGCTACAACATGGACAGACCGATTCGCAGATCGTTTCACAAAATAAAAGTTCATATCATGTATCGAAGATGCAACTTCCTTTACATCACCAATAATAAAACCAAAAGCAGAAGTAAAGGGGTCTGAAAGCAACGCATTAACAACTAACTGAGAGTCTGTTTCTACATCAACGTCACCCATGCCCCTTCCCTTCAGCCAACTTAAAGCCTCACGCACACACTGCCTCAGCCTCTGTTGTATATTGTCCACTCATTCGAACACCCCTAACAGCCAGGAAACAACCACAATCATCCCTTAACACCCGACCTAACCCCATGATATTATGAGAACCATCGAAAGCAGCATCACAATTTAGTTTAATAAGACTAGAAGGAGGCGGGTTCCGCCTTTCCTTACCTACTGTCCCTCCCCCAGAGTCCCAGCACCAGCCAGTCTTAACTGTTTGTTGGAACTCGAACCTATGCTCTGATACCACTTTGTTAGGAAGCGTTTGAACACCTACAACATTGTGTAACGCGATTTCCATGTCATAAATGCAGTGCTGTTGTGGTTGCTTACGGCTGCATGCATCAAGACAGGGCGACCACAGATTGCGAGACGAGCCATTGACCTTGCTGAGAGCCGGTTGCTGAAGGATAGCTGGCCAGAATATTACGATGGAAAAGCAGGAAGGTATATCGGTAAACAAGCTAGGAAGCAACAAACATGGTCGATCGCGGGATATCTGGTGGCAAAGATGATGCTGGAAGATCCTTCACACCTGGGGATGATCTCCTTGGAAGAGGACAAGCAAATGAAGCCTGTACTCAAGAGATCATCTTCATGGACTTGCTGATATATATGGCAGAAAACAAGAAATATATAGTAGACAAAGGGATCCAGAAACACAAGAGGTGAGTGATCCTTTTTTGTTTTGTTACCAAAAAAAAACACTGTTAGTTTCTGGGACAATTTCTGTCCTTTTTGGTTTTCTGAAATGTCGGTTTTTCTGATTCATTATATATGTTTTGAACCTATTAGTGTTTATGTACCTTAATTTTGGATAAAATAATTATATATGCATGCATACAAAATACAAAACAATAGCTTCATAACAAGTGTTGCTTTGGTAAAATCCTTTAAAAGCTTTTCAAATTTATTGTCTACCTTTCTCCGTTCATAGAAACATGAAACAAAGAAACGAGTCCGATAGCTTAGTTGGTTATAGGGGTGAAATTTGCAGCAATTATACCGTGGACCATGGTCCAAAACGACAGACGCAATAATATATTTAAACTTGCACTTTTTCACGTATTATTTTTATTATATTATCAAATGAAACAGCAATTGAATTGAAATGAAACTGTAGTTGTGTTTAAATGAAATTACGGTGTGTTCAAAATGAAACTGAATAACACTTTCACATATTTGAGTTTATTTTGTCCAACGAAATTGTACTTATATCAAAATGATACTGTAGTTGTGTTGAAATGAAACTGCAATGTATATTTGATGTCCGGACCACAATGCATTGTGGATCGCGGTCTACAATACAATTTGCCTGAAATTTGAAAACAATGACTTGGGATTGAGTCTCACCAGTGGCAGTGTGAGAGCAACATCTCACTTCTATGCAGGGTTGTAAAAATCGGTCTAGGCGTCCGCCTAGGCGCTAGGTGCCTCTAGACCGTGGCGATTTCCCCCCTAGGCGCCTGCCTAGGTTACTGGCCGCCTAGCACCTAACTCAGCCGATTTGGCCGCCTAGCGTCTAAGTTAGTCGAGTTAACTCGTCCATTTCGATCGAGTTAACCCGATCGGCTCGGCCTATTTGTTTATTATATATGTGTGTGTGCGCGCGCGCACATACATATATATAATATGACATATATGCACTCGTAGACTAGTTTGATACTTTGAATCTTTGGATGATTGAAGTATTTGAGTATTTTTAATTTTTAATATTGTTTTAATGTTTTTTTTTTTTTGAAAACTATTGTTTTGATGTTATGACTTATGAATTATCATTAATTCATTTATTTGGATGTGTTATTTGATTAAATGTTGAAAACAACCTCATTACAATTGTCAAACTGCAAGTCTACCACTGTTTTTCTTTTTTGCGCTCGCCTAGACCGCCTAGGCGCTAGGCGCTGTCCGGGCGCCTAACTAGCGCCTAGCGCCTACTACAACCATGCTTCTATGTTTAACTGAGTTGCCATAATTTACATCCTCCTAGATACTCTGTCGAGCCGGGGCGTGGGAGGACCTTAGGGTTGGGGATTCACCTTTTTAGAAAAGAAAATATTTATAACATAAAGAAACATTTTTGAAGTTTGCAGGAAGAAACGTGAAAATGTTAATTTTTATGCAATATATATATATATATATATATATATATATATATATATATAGAAGAGCGCTCATATGCGGCGGGGTCTTACGGTGCGGCGGTGCGGTCAAATTCCAGAATACACCAACAGTGTTAACAATATGCACCAACAGTGTAATAAAAACACACCCCAATGAAATGTAATAAAATATTACAAAATACACCACAGACTCAAAAAAACACACCATATAACTCACCACCCCCAATGGTGTATTTCCGAATAGTGTATGGTGTTTTTACTCACACCTAATGGTGTGTGTTTGGTGATGCAGGGCTCTGTTTACTCTGTTTTGTGTGGTGTATTTTCTAACGTTGATGGTGCATATTTGGTGAACTATTGGTGTTGCCGCACCGTAAGACACTGCCGCACCTGAACCCGCCTCTATATATATATATATATATATATATATATATATATATATATATATATATATAATCGGATTTTGATAGTGATTGGATAATGAATTAACAAATAACAAATAAATAAACAATAATTCATTCCTAGTCCACATAGAAGTATGATAAATTAAATCCATTTCCCAATCAAATAACGTTTTAAGTTGTGTATAATCGGAGCTTCACATGTATAAGATCCTATAAATTAACTATCAAAAAGTTACAAGGTATGTTTACAGGTTCGATTCATATATTTATAATTGTAAGATTTCTTAAAAATCTTTTTTTGTAAGATTTACTTTTGGTTCATAGAAAATATTTTTTAATGGAATTTGGTATCTTTGTTTCCACATAAAATTCAAGATTAAGATTGAAAGAATTACAAGGAAGAAAGTCCTATTCACATTAGTTAATGCAACACCCGTTCAAAAACCCTAATACAAATTCTTGATATGCTTTTTGTTATGTGTCTTTAGGCAGTGCAAGTGTATCATATATTCCTGCTGTTCAAGAAGCTAAGCAATATTATCACGCCTTTAGTCAGCAATATAATGTCTTGTTCCATTGCTAAAAGAGGTCGTGGAAGACCTAGAAAAGCTTCCATAAAAAGTGATATTTGTCCTTACACAACATCAAGAAAATTCAAGATCAAGATTAAAGTTTTGAGACAACAGAAGTATTCGGACGATGTCGTTTCTCCGGCAATACTACCCAAGAAACCTAGGACCAAGAATACAAGAATCTTGAATCGTAAACAACAATCTTGGGGACAACGTTATCTTCTTGATCATAATCCAAATCTAAATCCAATCTCACAGAAAGAAGTTGAAGGAGTACCATTTCTTGATCTTGATGCAAACCTGATTAATACTGAATCATCATTGTCGTTATCCAGTTCTGTTGATAAACTGAAGCCAATTTCATCACAAAACGAAGTTGAAGCCGTGTTCACTAGTTCTTCTTCTTCTTCGGAGTTGAAGATTAGTTTGTCCACGCCACTTTCTGAATACATCATCCCGGGACCTATTCCAGACAATATTGATGAGTTGGCATGGCCGGATGAAGATATGAACCGTAATTTTTGGAAAGACATCCCATATTTTGAAGAATAACTTCATTTGATCTCTTAATTAATTTATCTACTTATCAACAACAATTTGTTGGTAAAGTGAATGTTTATCGTTCATATGCCATGACTCTGTGCACCTGATGTAACAATGACAACATAGAAAATATATGTAACATGGTGATATTCAGAGTTTTGTTTTTTATTTTTTTACTTTTAGAAAAGGAAATTTATTATTTTACTAAAAGATTTTTTTTTTTGGTATCTATTCAAAATTTGTAATATAATTTCTTTATATATATCCAATTTCCTTGTCCACTGAAATTTTATAAATTTATAATTTTTTTTTTTTGAAAAATAAAAATGAACAAAAGTCTATCGTTTTTGGTTTTCTGAAATGTCTGGTTTTTCTGATTCATTATATATATATATATATATATATATATATATATATATATATATATATATATATATATATAAATGTTTTGAACCTATTTGGCTATTTGTGTTTATGTAACTTAATTTTATTTATGCATACAAAATACAAAACACTTGCTTAATAAGAAGTGTTGCTTTGGTAAAATCCTTAAAAAAGCCATTCAAATGTACTGTCAATTAAATCATGTGTTCCATCTCAACTAAAAGTCTAAGTTGATAGTTGGATTGCACATTTATGTTTATATATATTATATCCTTGGATCATAGTCTTTTTTTTTTTTTTTTTTTTATTTTTATCGGGTGACGCAACTTTGGCATGGCTTTGATACCAAATTGAAGCATGTGCTCCATCTCAACTAAAAGCCTAAGCTGATAGTTGGATTGCACATTTATGTTTATATATATTATATGCTCAACACTGTCTACCTCTCTCCGTTCATAGAAATAGGAAACAAGGAAACAAAGAAATGAACAATGCAATATACGAAAATACGAAATGTGTGGGAAAAGTACCAAATATGTATAAATATTAATTGTGTACTCGTTTTTTTTTTTTTCTATTTTTTTAAAAAAATATTTTTAAAATTAGAAAAATAGTTTTGAAACACTTTTTGAAGTTTACAAAAATTTGTGGGAAGAAACATTCAAATACTAATTTTTAAGAATTTTCAAACCATAAAATTAAATCTTTTTCCTAATCAAACAACGTTTGTTAATTAATTGTTTATAATTTTGAAGCTGAACATGTATAAGACCCTATCAATTAACTACCAAACAGTAATATGGTATGTCAAATATTTCAAAGATTTGATTCATAAATTTGATTCATGTATTTATAATTATATTTTTGAAAATCGTTTTCTTAAAAATCTTTATTTATAAGGTAATATAATAATAATTTATTCTCAATCATGCATAAAATTCAAGATTTAAAGTGAAAAAATTGCAAGGATAACTTGTGACCAAGATCACAAGCCCTAGTACTTATTCCTCCTCAAGAAATGAAGTTGAAGAATCTAAGGCTCTATTGACATTAGTTGATGCAGCACCATTTCATAAACCTTAATACAAATTCATATTTTTTTGCATCCAAGAAGTTGTCTACTTAAAAGGTAAGATCCTTGATATCCTCATTATCACTTAAAAGAGGTTTTTCCCAACACAATCTTTGTAATTTCTATGTTGAATTTATTGATTTTTTTTGTTTTTGTTTTTGTTTTTGTTTTTGGTGATACAAGGTAAGACGAGTTGTTCAATTGCTAAACGAGGTAGTGGAAGATCCAAAAAATATTCTATAGAAACTCATGTTTGCACATACACAACATCAAGGAAACTCAGGATCAAGATTAAAACTTTGAGACAACAACATGAGTATTGCAAGCATGTCATTTCTCCGACAATACCTAAGAAACCTAGGACCAAGGGTACAAGAATCTTGAATCGTAAACAATCATTTTGGGGGCAACGTTCTCTTCTTGATCATAATCCAAAGCCAAATCCAATCTCACATAAAGTTCAAGATAAAGGAGGAGTGCCGTTTCATGATCTTGATCCGGATCGAGTTAAAACTACATCATCATTGTTATCTAGTTATGTTGATACACCAAAACCAATTTCATCAGAAAACGAAGTTGAAGGAGTACTCATTGATTTTTCTTCTCCAAGGTGGAAGACTAGTTTGTCTACGCCACTGTCGGAATATAGCATCCCAGGACCTATTTCGTACAATATTAACGAGTTGACATGGGATGAAGATATGAACCTTCATTTTTGGAAAGACATCCCAAATTTTAAAGAATAAATTTATCTCATTTCTTAATTAATATAATGCATCTACTTATTTACAAATTGTTTTTGGTAAAGTGAATATTTACCGTTCATATGTCATGAGTTTGTGCACCTGATGTAACAATGATAACATAGAAAATGTATGCAATGGGGTGATATTGATAATTTTATTTTATTCTTCTTTTAAAAAGTAAATCTATGATATAGTTTGCATATCTATTAAAAATTTATTATATAGTTTCTTAATATATAAATATATATTTTTTTTTCTAATTTTCCTTGTCCATCATAAATGTATAAATTTTAAAAAAAAAATAACAAAAGTCTGCAATTCCTTCCCCTTTAGAATTACAGATGCATCCAAGGTGAAGGCAGAGAGAGCTTAAATTCGTCGCTATTCAGGGTTGAAATCCAATTCTTATTGTGATTGGATAATGAATTAACAAATAAAAAAACACCAGTTCATTCCTAGTCCACATAGGAGTATGATAAAATTAAATCTATTTCCTAATCAAATAATTTTTTAAATTGTGTATAATCTTGAAGTTTCACATGTATAAGATCTTATAAATTAACTATCAAAAAATTATAAGGTATGTTTCACAGGTTCGATTCATACATTTATAATTGTAATATTTCTTTAAAATCATTACTTATAAGAGGGTTTTTGGTTTATTGGAATATTTATTCGGAAGAACTAAACTTTCTAAACTTTGAGGAAAATTGAATTATTCTATTATGTTTGGTTCATGCAAAATATTTTTCAATGAAATCTGGTATCTTTGTTTCCACATAAAGTTCAAGATCAAAATTGAAAGAATTGCAATCTGGAACGTCTGATCAAGATCACAAACCCTAATACTTATCTCTCTTCAAGAAAATTGTAATTCTTGACTTTTTGGGGATAGATACTGCTGAAAAACTCTTATAAGCTTAATATTATTGTATTCAACTTCTGCATGTTTCATAAGATAGGGCATACTTATATACAAAGAGAAAGGAGAATTAAAAAGGCAAGATATCATATATCATAATGATTCCTTTCAATATTTCCTTGAGTTTGATATTTGTTTCCCTTCTTCCTGTGAAAAATTTTGTTTCCTCAATTAGCTTTTCTTCCTTATCAGCCCCCTTCAAGTTGGAGACAGAGTGTAAGTGGAGTCCCATCTTGTCGCGAAGGAAAATAAAAGGTGTTGGATATTGGTGAATAAATCGATGCACAAAATATATATAAAATATATATTTGTCCCGAAAAATAGAATTTAATTTATAGAAAATTAATTCCAACCAATTTTGATACGAAACCAAAATTACATATATATACAACGTATATATATTAACCAAATAGGGATTTATTTTATCAAAATAATCCCACCACAACTAGTACGAAACTAGTACACAGGACTTAATTTCCACGAAATTAATCCCACCACAACTAGTACGAAACTAGTACAAGGATTTAATCTATCCGAGATTAATCCCACCACTTGGTCCGAAACCAAGAACAAAATAAAAGCAAGAACGGGTTTCTAACCTGAGGTTTTAACCCAACGCGAAGAAAGAAGCATAGGAAGCCCGAGTCGTGTGTACACACACTCTCCTTAAAACCGATTCGCCACCTCCCGAGGGTGCTAGGATCGTTGTGGCGTCAGTCTCCCAGGATAAAACGGACTACGACTTTGGAGTTCGAGCACTCCAACCCAAAGCCCGGCGAACTAGAACACAAGTTGAGCACTCCGATGTTTTACGGAATTATGTTGGCAAACAATTTTTCTCTTTTGAAATCAAGAAGAGTAGAGAGAAAAAGCAATAGTTTTGAGTTTCAGAAATGGCGTGAAAACATTCTGCCAACATAACAAACTATTTGTAGGGAAAGGAGAATTAAGTAGCATTATAATGGCCATTAACCAACATAAATCCAAGATTTAATAATTGGATAATAACGTTTGAAACGGTCGTAATTATTATCGTAATAATTCCAACGGTCACGAACTTAATACGCGATTAATTCGTACCGACCATAACGACCCGTTTCAAAATATCTGAGTGGCCGAGAAGTCCGTACAAACCCGAAGGTTTAACGAATTGGGACCGAAAACCACACTCGAGTGGTCCACACGCACCGAAACGGTGCAGCACGAATCAATGCATAGAACATTTGATTCGTGCACACCGAATCCACAGCACGAAATGAGCTACTTTGGAATCCAAAGCTTAAGCTCAATTCATGCACAACTTTCGTCCATGCACAAAGCATAGCACGAAAGTTCATTTTCCCAATTCACTAATCAAGCTTTCAAAAGCTTAATTACTATGTTGCAACTTAACCTTTTCCAATGCTAAATTACAAGCATTCCTTCGTGAATGCTAAGTAATTAGCACCAAGATTAGTGCTAATTTTAATTAGCCACTAAACAATAGGTTTAAGCTGTCGATTTCTCTCAAATAGGTTCACTTTGAGAATCAATTTCTCATTCACCTATTACCCATTTTGAGCGTACATTATATCAAATTCTTCGTCTCACTACGAGGAACCCGAATCCACTTTGACCCGACCCAAATCGAAAGTGGATCCACATATATTTGTACTACAAAATAATCACTCAAAATGCCATTTTTAGCTAAAAATTCCAACAAAAGGTGCCTTTGGTAAGGGCTTGGTGAGAATATCTGCTATTTGGTGTGAAGATGGCACAAACCGTGTCACAAGGTGACCCATGGCTACTTTTTCTCGAACAAAATGGTAGTCTATGTCGATATGCTTTGTCCTCGCATGAAAAAGTGGATTAATCGACATATGAAGAACACTGAGATTGTCGCAGAGTAATTGTGGAGCATGAAGCAAATGTATGCCAATGTCACGTAATAAAAAAGTGAGCCAAGTTAATTCAACTGTGGTGGAAGCCATGGACCTGTATTCTGCTTCTGAACTAGATCGAGCAACTGTAGGTTGCTTCTTTGAACACCAGGAAATACAATTAGCACCTAGGAAAGCACAAAAACTTGTTGTGCTTCTTCTGGTTAGGGGACAACCTGCCCAATCGGCATATGAAAAAGCATATAAAGAGAGAGGACTTTTAGAAATAAACCGTAAGCCATAGTCTTGTGTACCTTTAAGGTAGCGAAGAATTCGCTTGACTGCTTTAAGATGTAGTTCTGTGGGGGAGTTGAAGAATTGACAAACTTTATTGACAGCATGTTGAATGTCTGGTCGAGTGAATGTGAGGTTTTGAAGAGCACCAACAATACTTCTATAATAAGTAGCATCTACACCATTTTGTTTTGACATATTTTCTTTTTCTTTGAGAACCATAGGAGTAGCATTAGAAGTACAATCTGTCATCCTTGTACGGTTGAGAAGATCCTTGATATATTAGCCTTGAGAGAGAATGATTCCTCCATTGAAGTATTTAATTTCCACACCTAAAAAGAATATTAGACATCCAAGATCCTTTATAGAAAATTCTGCACTTAATTGATGAATTAAGTTAGAGATGAAGGAGTCATTATTTCCAGTCACCAATATGTCATCTACATAGATGAGAAGCAATATTGTAACAGAATTTTGACGATAGATAAATAAAGAAGAATCTGCCTTAGTGCCTTACTACAATAAAAACCAAGATGAAGAAGAAACCGAGATAAGCGATCAAACCAAGCTCGAGGAGCTTGCTTTAGCCCATAAAGGGACTTGTGAAGAAGACACACATGATCAGGTTTACAAAATCAGGGGGTTGTTCGATATACACAATCTCCTTTTAAATTTCCATGCAAAAAGGCGTTCTTCACATCCAGTTGTTTCATGTGCCAATTTAGAGAAGTTGGAAGTGCTATCAAAAGACGAATAATAGTATGGCGAATAACTGGGCTGCAAGTCTCATCAAAATCAATACCTGAGACTTGTGTAAAACCACGGGCAACAAGACAAGCCTTGAAGCGCTCAATAGATCCATCCTCTCAGCTTGTTGCTTTATATGATAAATCCATTTTGACCAAACAACATTTACATTTTGGGGCCGAGAACTAGTGACCAGGTTTGGTTAGAGTGAAGGGCCTGTAGTTCCTCTTTCATAGCCATAACCCATCGAGGATCTTTTAGAGCAACATGATAATTTCGAGGTTCAACAGGTAACTCGACTTGAGATAGATAGCATTCATAATCTTGTAGATGTTTTGGAGGTTGCCTATGGCGTTGAGGGTGAACATAATTTTCACTTTCATTATTGTCCATATGTGTATCAACAATATGCCTAGGCAAGTCATTTAGCAAAGTGAGAGTTTGTGTATCTGCCAGTTCAGCTGCAACTAAGGTTTCATCTGCATAACGCACATTAACATCAGGCAAAACTCCATCATTGTCAGGAGATTCAGCATTATTATCATTATAACATCCCTCGTGATCATTATTTTCATCACAGCAACCAATAGTAGTTATAATAGATGTTTGAGTTGCTGACTCTGCATTTGTTCCCACCTTTGGAGGTTCAGCTTCAAGAGTGACTTTAAACCATTCATCATGTGCTGGAAATTCAACAAAATCTAATGGCACAAGAATCGCTTCTTGAGGAGAGGGTTTATAGAGGAATTTATCGAAGACAACGTGTTTGGATATATATACTCTTTTTGTTCGAGGTTCATAGCACCTATAACCCTTGTGAATAGGGCTATAACCAATAAATACACACAGATAAGTTTTCTTAACAAATTTATTACCTCCTTGATGTCTTAGAGAAGGAAAGCATAAGCATCCAAACACTCGCAAGCTTTTGTAATTTGGTTCTTTGTGATATAGTTTAGAGTATGGAGATTGATTGTGTAAAACTGAAGTTGGCATTCTGTTGATTAAATAGACATCTGCAATAAAATCTTCAACCCATAAAAATAAAGGTAAGTTAGCATGAAATAACATAGTTAAACCTGTCTCAACAATGTGCCGATGCTTCCTCTCGGCCACTCCGTTTTGCTCAGGTGTTCCAGGACATGAAACCTGGAGCTGAATACCACAATTACTAATATGACTGAGAAAATCAAAGGAGTTAAATTCTCCACCACCATCACATTGAAATTTTTTTATTTTTCTATCAAATTGATTTTCTACTAATTTTTGTAATTTTTGAAAACAAAGAAAAAAATCTGACTTTTTCTTTAAAGGATATAACCAAGAAAATCTTGAAAATCATCTATAATAAATATAACATAAAACCGAAATCCTTGATTTGAAACAGTAGGAGCTGTTCCCCAAAGATCACAATGAACTTTTTGTAAAGGATAACTAAACATATCATTATTCAAATTAAAAGATAATTTACAACCTTTTCCAGATTGTCAACTAGCACAGATAGATGACTTAGTTTGCCAATTAGTGACATCAATGACTTTCTTTCCTTTTAACAAAGATAAAATCTTTGCACTTGAAAATTAATATATGACGAGATTAATTTTATTGTCATTAAAATAAATGTTTACAACTTTGTAATAACGCTAGTTTAAATACTTTGTCTAAAAATGACAGTCTAAATAAATACTACTTTTGGTTTAAATTTCTCTAATTCTTCTTAATTCTCTTTTGGGTAGCATTGTCATTGTCTTCATCTTCCGTCCTTTTTTTTTTATTATTGGTAGTGTGTCATGTGCAATTGTGTTACTGGTGGTAGCATAAATGCATTCATTATGCAAATGAGATTATGGTGTAGGAAGCTTTAGATTTGCCTTGTTGTGTATATGATGGGATCTTAGTTGTACTATTAACTCTTTATCTTACAAGCACCTATTGATATTTTGGTAGTGGTAGTTTTTCCCCTACATATTTCATGCATTGTGAGATGTTTGTCGTAGGTTATTATGTGAAAGTATTGAACAAAATATTAATATTTATTATATTTGTAAAAAAATACTTAGTAAATACATACATACATACATACATACATACATACATACATACATATATATATATATATATATATATATATATATATATATAAATATATAAACATATTTTGTATTATAACTTTGATGTTTAATTACAAGATAATGTAAAAAGAATACAATGGACAATGTAGTGAATATAATAAATTAATAAATTTGAAGGTAATGAATTTTTTAATTATAAAAAATAAAGATAATATAACTAATGAAATTATATCTCTTTTTAAATTTTTTATACTGAATAATTTTTTTTTAAATAAAGGCATTATAGACATCTAATTCTAAATTAATTAAATGCATATATATTATTTTTTTGTTGTAGCTACTATTTTATTCTACAAATCTAATAAGAGCAAATAATGTTAGGCCCTTAACTGGAACAAAAAAAATGTCGGTACTAATTGTTTCTTAAAATGAATGGTTCATATTATTTTGATTTTAGTATCTTTTAATGATTTTCCTTATTTACCCTCTATTATATTATTTTCTTCTCTTAAATAACCCTAAATTCCGTTATCTACATCTACAAATCTAATAAGAGCGAATAATGTTAGGCCCTTAACTGGAACAAAAAAAAAATGTCGGTACTAATTCTTTCTTAAAATGAATGGTTCATATTATTTTGATTTTAGTATCTTTTAATGATTTTCCTTATTTACCCTCTATTATATTATTTTCTTCTCTTAAATAACCCTAAATTCCGTTAGTTTAAACTTTAGTAACGGAATATTCCGTTAACTATTTATTATTCTTAACAATCTCTTAATTTATATAAGGTCTTAACAAGAAATTTGTAAGTTATTTTTTACTATATCATTATATTAATATCTATTGTAACCATATATTTTGAATTATTTATTATCATCTTCTATTGACAGAAATTGTAGCAATTGTTATGGACAAACTCTAAAAACAATTTGTCTCAACAAGGAATAGAAATTAAAAAAAAAAAATCATTGATTTCATTATTGTTGAAGAAAAGTATGTACGAAACTTTATTACTCTTATTAATTAAATAAATTAGTAGCTACAACAAAAAATAATACATATGCATTTAATTAATTTAGAATTAGATGTCTATTATGCTTTATTTAGAAAAAAAATTATTCATTATAAAAAAATTTAAAAGAAATATAATTTCATTAATTATATTATCTTTATTTTCTACCATTCAAAGATTCCTTACTTTCAAATTTATTAATTTATTATATCCACTGTCTTATTTTTTACATTATCTTGTAATTAAATATCAAAGTTATAATACAAAACATGTTTTATATATATATATATATATATATATATATATATATATATATTTATTTATTTATTTATTTATTTATTTATTTATTTATTTATTTACCAAGTATTTTATACAAATATAATAAATATTAATATTTTGTTCAATACTTTCACATGATAACCTACGACACACATCTCACAACACATGAAACATGTAGTAAAAAAACTACCACTACTAAATATCAATAGGTGTTTATACACTAAAGAGTTCATATTACAACTAAAATCTCAATCATATACACAGCAAGGCAAATCTAAAACTTCATACACCATAATCTCTATGCTGCTACCAGTAACCTAATTGCACATGACACACTATCAATTAAAAAAAAAAAAGACATGTACTGAAGATGAAAACAATAACAATGCTACCCAAAAAAGAATTAAGAAGAATTAGAAAAATTTAAACCAAAAGTAGTATTTATTTAGACTATCGCTTTAAGACTAAGTATTTAGACTAGCGTTATTACAAAGTTGCAAACATTTATTTTAGTGACAATTATAATCAATCTCTCATATATTATCTTGCATTTATATACTTTAAATTACCTATTTAAATAAACATATTCAACATTTATTTACCTATGCATGAACATCTCATATATAATATTGAATTGATATACTTTGAAATACTTATTTAAAAATAATTATTGGGCATTATCCCATTCGCGCAAAGCGCGTAATAATTTAATAACAGTAATAAAGTGGCGTCCATACTTTTCATCAACAATAATGAAATCATTGATTTTTTTTTTTAATTTACATTTGTTGTTGAGACAAATTGTTTTGAGAGTTTGTCAATGACAATTGTTACAATTCCTGTCAATAGAGGATGATAATAAATAATTCAAAATATATAGTTACAATAGATATTGTTATAATGGTATAGTAAAAAATAACTTACAAATTTCTTTAGAAGTTTTCATTGATAAAATTATAATGTGTAAACTTGTTCAATTGGAGCCAGTGGATGTCAACATTCTCAATTCGTTAGAAAATGGTCATACCGTTTTAGAGTCCAAGTGTAATTGTATTTATGTTCAACAACTGTGTAGTTAGGTCGTGCGGGACTGACAATGATGTAAGAACAATTTTGTCCGATAAAAAAATAATAGTATAATATTTGTAAGGGAAAATCGCACTTTTGGTCCCTCAATTGTTTCCCGATCTACAATGTGGTCCCTCAATGTCAATTTCAGTTAATTGGGTCCTCCAGTTCTTTAAATCGTTGTCAATTTGCCCCTCCGGTCAAATTTCACGTGGACCATGGTTAATAGCTTGGATAGAATGGTAATTACCAATACCCTTTAACCCATTTCCTTATTTCCACGCGAATTAACCCCAATTCATTTTTATTTCTGCCATAACCAATACCCGTTTCTTACTCCCATTCTGCGATTCACTTACCAATTCTCCCAAAACCTACGAAGACGAAGAAGTTCATATTGCACGGCCATGTCTTCAAACAGTTTCGGCGACTCAGTTGAATATGGATTCCAGAAGTGCGTTGTTGGTGCGGCGAAGTCGCTCCGGTAAGGATGTCCTGGAGTTATGCCAACCCTGGAAAGCGATTTAGATCATGCCCACGCTATGGAGTACGTGTAAGCATCATAAACGAATGCTTGAGCTGTTCTTAGGTGTTAGAGTATCTAATTTGGCTTTGTTTATTGATTTTGATTGGCAGGGGAATGGGAACTGTAGCTATTTTCAATGGTTGGACTCCGATGTCTCTGACCGTGTGTCTAAAGTGATTCGAGGTTTATTGAAGAGGTTAGATAAGCAAGAGAGTGAAATGCAAAGGCTTCAAGTAGTGATTGATGAGAAAACTGTCCAGCTTAAGAAGAAGACTCTGACTTCAAAATTTCAATTTTTGTATGGTTTTGGATTTGGAATTGTGGTTGGTTTTCTTTGTTTCAGGCTTTGGATGAGAAGTGTTGATCCAAGTGAAAAGCTTCTCCAATTGAAGTAGGAATTTTAATGCTTAATGTTTGTTTCTAAAAACTTGGGTGAATTAGTGTTTGGATTATTGATAATTTGTAAAAACTTGGATGAATTAGTGTTTGGATTATTGAATGAATGCAAGTTATGAACTCTATTGTCAGTTTGGATTATTGAATTAATGCAAGTTATGTACTCTATTTTCTGTTTGCAAATTATGTACAATGGCTGGAAGTTAAATGACCAAATGAGTACATAATAGATGAGCATAGTGGCTGGAAGTTAGATGATAGATTCATTGTTAATACTGAAATGACCAATTGGCTTGGAGTTAAATGACCAAATGTGCAGAGTACTCTAATTGAAATGGGCTCACTGTTAAACTGCAATGAGCATAATAGATTCATTGTTAACTAAGGCATTTTGTATAAATGACCAAATGAGCAAATTTGCAAAATACATTCATTGTTATTATTGGACAAATGTATCTACTGATTGTGGCTTACAGTCATGATGAAACAGCCAACCAAAAACAGCAAAACGATCAAATGACCACCAATTTGTCTACCAAATTGTTTACAAAAAACCATACAAACTTGAACTAGAAACTTGTGCAGCCTAATGATCAAATACATCATTTCTTTTTGTTGGCCAATCTCTAAATTGCATGAGTTCTTAATGCTTGAGCTGTCAGAATCTTAGGAGCAACAGTTGAACTAGAAACTTGTGCAGCAATAAAGGTAGACTGGTGTGGAACCTGGTTTTGAAGTGGTTGTGCAGACTGAGATCCCATTGCATGAGTTCTTCCTTTAATTCCTCCATATACCTTTTAAAATATGCCTCAGTTGTAGCTTTACACACAGCCCACAATTTTAACTTCAGAACATTTGCAGTAAAGCCATCCTTCAGAAAGTTGGCATGCATATGCCTTACACAGAACCTATGCTCCAATCCAGTAAACAATTCTTCTATAGCTAGTAACAGACCCTTCTGTTTATCTGATATAATAGTCCAGGCATGAGGATTACTTCCTATGTTCAAATCATTGTCCAGCAGTTTTAAAAACCATGTCCAACTTTCCTTTAATTCTCCCTCAACAACAGCAAAGGCTATAGGAAATATGCAATTATCTCCATCAAGACCAATAGCACTTAATAGTTGCCCTCCCTTCTGACTACCCTTCAAATGGCATCCATCCAACCCAAAAAAGGTCTACAGCCTCTTAGAAACCCTTCTTTGCAAGTTGCAAAGCAAACATACAATCTAAGAAACCTAGGTCTGCCATTAACACTAAACTGACTATCAATCTTCATCTTGACAGTACTCCCAGGTTGCTTCTCTTTAATTCATCACAATAATCATTCAACATCTTGAACTGTTCAGAATCTTGACCTTCCAGCTCCTTTCTAACCTTATGCTTAGCCCTATAAGCCTGATGTTTTGTAACTTGACAATGTAATTTCTCTTTCACATGCTCTTGAAATTGTCTTCTCCCCCAGTCCATATTCAATCTAAAATCATCTTTGTACAACTTAGCAAGGAATCCTGAATTAACAGTTTTGTTTTCATCTTGGTCCCCACATGTGTGTTCAGGGTTGTATGTTTTAATTTGAAATGGACATCTAGGATTGTTTCTTGAGGCAAACATTATCCAGCTGCAGATGTCTGAGTGTCTACAATAAACCCTTACCCTTCTGCCCTCATTCTTTGCAAATTTAATATCTTTTCTTCTCATTGCCTCATGATACTTTACAGCCCACTTAAACTCTGAGGCAGATTTAAAAATCATTCCCAAAACAAACTTAAAACCTTCTTTTTTCAGGTTTCTTTCTTGGAAAACAGTTTCAGGACCATTCACTTCCCTCTCAAAATCTGAATCAGCTAAACTCCTAAAAATGTCTTCAGAAACTACACAATCAACTTCATCAACTTGTACCTCATCATTGTTCACCTGCTTAGAACTAGGACGAGGACCATTAACTTCTACCTCAACTTCTTCAAACAAAGATTCTGGTCCATTTACTTCCCCCTCAGATCTTTGTTCACTTGTCTCATCTATCCCATCATTCAACAGTGCATCATCTCCCAAAGTCCTTGATATCTCTACTTCATAATCCCATTGATCATCATACAAATGTTCAACATAAATATCCAACTCCTTGTTTGTTGGAACCTCTAAATCAAGAACTATAATATCTGCATCACTGGTCAGTTTGCTCAGTTCAAGTTTTTTTGCATTTTTTCTACCCTTTTTCTTAACCCAGAATTGGACATTTTTATCACAAAACCTTAGTTGTTTTACCATCCTTCTTAAATCCAGTAAGCTTCCCTCTTCAGTGTTGAAATGATCAAAATACTCAACAAAACCCTCCCTATACTCAACTTTTCGCTTCCATACCAAATTACCACCAATATGCAGTTTTAAAGTAAACACGGATGAAGCCTCACCAACATCTATAAAGCATGAATTTAAATTAACTGTCAATTTTACAGTTTTGCAGACAAAAATTTAAAGAGTTATTCACAGTACAATAAAGACTCAATCAGTGCACTACCTATGGTCCCCATGTGGCTACAACAAAGTAACCAACTACAACTGGTCCCCACTAAGCAATAACTCCAAAACCCAACCCATTGCACATGTCAAAAATATACATAGAACCCTACTTCAAGTTCCCCATACATGCGATTTTCCCTTTATTTAAGTAGAACTGGTCCCCACTAAGTAATAATCCCAGAACCCAACACATTGCACATGCTAGACAAACAAGACAAACTTTATCTTTTTAACTGCACAAGAATAAATAAAGCATAGGATAACTCAGATACTTACACGTAGGAGTTGTATTGGAGCCATTTATCCTCCGACTAGTCATGCCTGTGCTCGTCCTCGTCGTCCTCGCCGTCCTCTTCGCAGCAGTAGTATTTGGGGGTTAAATTTCTTATTCGCAGATTGGGGGCAAGCTAGGGCTTAATTGAGCTGAAATGAATTGGGGTTAATTCGCGTGGAAATAAGGAAAGGGGTTAAAGGGTATTGGAAATTACTATTCTATCCAAGCTATTAACCATGGTCCACGTGAAATTTGACCGGAGGGGCAAATTGACAATGATTTAAAGAACTGGAGGACCCAATTGACTGAAATTGACATTGAGGGACCACATTGTAGATCGGGAAACAATTGAGGGACCAAAAGTGCGATTTTCCCTATTTGTAAAGTAATGTACAATTGTACCATTATAAAAATACATACAAAAAATATTAATATATACCATAACGACATTTTTTTTAAATACTATTAACTCTATTACAATGCAGTATCTGTTCATAACTACTTTCTCAACCTACTGAAGCATATAGACTCAACAGCGCCTCCACTGAGGCTCAATACCATAACGACCTAAATCATACCAATAATGCAATAGTATAATTGAAATATTAAATTTTTTTCTGATCTAAATAATCAAAAGAAGATTAATTAAATGAAAAAAAAAAAAAAAAAAAAACTTAACCTAAATTTGTTTTTTTTTTAAATGCAAAAAAATCAAATGATTTTTAAAGTTATTGATTTATAATCTTTGATGCTTAACTTCGAATGTTATGTATTTAGTCGGACTAATTATTTGAACAAAGTTTATGTGAAATTTTATATTATATATTTTAACATATTCGTAGTATATGCTTAACAATTATGCCAACTCTAATTGGGATGAGGTTTGAACCTAATACCTTTCTTATAGAAATTGATGAGTAAGTTAAAAATAATAAATAGTTAACGAAATATTCCGTTACTAAATTTTATACTAACGGAATATAGGTTATTTAAGGGAAGAAAATAATATAATAGAGGGTAAATAAGAAAAATCATTAAAAAAAAATACTAAAATCAAAATAATATGAACCATTCATTTTAAGAAACAATACTACCGACATTTTTTTGTTCCAGTTAAGGGCCTAACATTATTGTCTCTTATTAAAATTGTAGATTGTAGATATAATCCAATTCTTATAGTGATTGGATAATGAATTAACAAATAAATAAACAATAGTTCATTCCTAGTCCACATAGGAGTATGATAAAATTAAATCCCTTTTCTAATTAAATAACGTTTTAAATTGTGTATAATCCTGAAGCTTCACATGTATAAGATCCTATAAATTAACTATCAAAAAGAAGTTATAAGGTATCCTATAAATTAACTATCAAAAAGAAGTTATATATAAGGTATGTTTCACAGGTTTGATTCATATATTTATAATTGTAAGATTTCTTTAAAATCTTTACTTATAGAGGGTTTTTTGTTTATTGGAAAATTTATTTGAAGGAACTAAAGTTCTTAAACTTTGAGGAAAATTGAATTATTCTATTATGTTTGGTTCATGAAAAATATTTTTAATGAAATCTGGTATTTTATTTAATTATTTTTTCACATAAAGTTCAAGTTTAAGATTGAAAGAATTGCAATCGGGATTGTTTGATCAAGATCACAAACCCTAATACTTGTCCCTCTTCAAAAAGTCCTAATTCTTGACTTGTTGGGGATAAATATTGCTCCACAGGAAGTAGGGGCTCGAGAAATTAGTCAGCAATGTCTTGTTCCATTACTAAAAGAGGTCGTGGAAGACCTAGAAAAACTTCCATAAAAAGTGATATTTGCCCTTACACAACATCAAGGAAATTCAAGATCAAGATTAAAGTTTTGGGACAACAAGAATATTCGGACCATGTCGTTTCTCACGCAATACCCAAGAAACCTAGGACCAAGAATACAAGAATCTTGAATCGTAAACAACAATCTTGGGGACAACGTTATATCCTTGATCATAATTCAAATCCAAATCCAATCTCACAGAAAGAAGTCGAAGGAGTACCATTTCTTGATCTTGATGCAAGCCCGATTAATATCGGATTATCATTGTCGTTATCCAGTCTGTTGATAAACTGAAGCCAATTTCATCACAAAACAAAGTTGAAGCAGTGTTCACTAGTTCTTCTTCTTCTTCTTCTTCGGAGTTGAAGATTAGTTTGTCCACGCCACTTTCTGAATACATCATCCCGGGACCTATTCCAGACAATATTGATAAGTTAGCATGGCCGGATGAAGATATGACCTGTAATTTTTGGAAAGACATCCCATATTTTGAAGAATAGCTTCATCTCTTAATTGCATCTATCTACTTATCTACAAATTGTTGTTGTAAATTGAATGTTTATAGTACATATACCATGATTCTGTGCACCCGATGTAACAATGACAACATAGCAAATGTATGAAACATGGTGATATTCAGATTTTTTTAAAATATTTTTTTCACTTAATTTTCTTTTTGAAACGAAAATTTTTTATTTTACTAAAAGATTTTTTTTGTATCTATTAAAAATTTGTAATATAATTTCTTTATGTATAACCAATTTCCTTTTCGACCGAAAAATTATAAATTATAAATTTTTTTAAAAAAATAAAAAATAAACAAAAGTCTATCATTTTTGGTTTTCTGAAATGTCTGATTTTTCTGATTCATTATATATATATATGTTTTGAACGTATTTGAAATAGTTTTGAAACACTTTTTGATGTTTACGAAGATTTGTCGGAAGAAACGTTCAAATGCTAATTTTTGAAAGTTTTCAAACGATAAAATTAAATCTCTTTCCTAATCAAACAACATTTTTTAATTAATTGCTTATAATCTTGAAGCTTAACATCTATAAAACCCTATAAATTTACTACCAAAAAGTAATATGGTATGTCATATATTTCAAAGATTTGATTCATAAATTTGATTCATGTATTTATTCATTCTTCCAAAAAGGTTGAACCCCAATCCTAAGGGCCCCCCACACCTCGGCCCAACAAAGCATTTCTGATTCATGTATTTATAATTGTATTCTTGAAAATCGTTTTCTTAAAATTCTTTATTTATAAGGTAATATAATAATAAATTTATTCTTAATCGTGTATAAAATTCAAGATCAAAAGTGAAAGAATTGCAACGATAACTTGTGACCAATATCACAAGCCCTAGTACTTATTCCTCCTCAAGAAATGAAGTTGAAGAAGCTAAGGCTCTATTGACATTATTTGATGTAGCCCCATTTCATAAACCCTAATACAAATTCATATTTTTTGCAACGAAGAAGTTGTCTACTTAAAAGGTAAGATCCTTGATATCCTCATTATCACTTAAAAGAGGTTTTTCCCAACACAATCTTTGTAATTTTTATGTTGAATTTACGAGGAATTTTTTTTTTTTTTTTTTTTTTTTTTTTTTTTTTTGTGATACAAGGTAATGACGAGTTGTTCCATTACTAAACCAGGTAGTGGAACATCCAAAAAAGCTTCTACAGAAGTTGATGTTTGCACATACACAAGACCAAGGAAACTTAGAATCAAGATTAAAGCTTTGGGACGACAACATGAGTATTGCGAGCATGTCATTTCTGCGACAATGCATAGGAAACCTAGGACCATGGGTACAAAAATCTTGAATCGTAAACAATCATCTTGGGGACAACGCTCTCTTCTTGATCATAATCCAAAGCCAAATCCAATCTCACATAAAGAAGTTGAAGGAGTGCCGTTTTATCATGATCTTGATCTGGATCGAGTTAATACCAGATCATCCTTGTTATCTAGTTGTGTTGATAAATCGAAAGCAATTTCATCAAAAAATGAAGTTGAAGGAGTACTCATTGATTTTTCTTCTCCAAGGTTGAAGACTAGTTTGTCTACGCCACTGCCGGATTATAGCATCTCAGGACCTATTCCGTACAATATTAATGAGTTTACATGGGATGAAGATATGAACCTTCATTTTTGGAAAGACATCCCAAATTTTGAAGAATAAATCTATCTCATTTCTTAATTAATATAATGCATCTACTTATTTACAAATTGTTGTTAGTAAAGTGAATATTTACCGTTCATATGTCATGAGTCTGTGCACCTGATGTAACATTGACAACATAGAAAATGTATGCAATGGGGTGATATTGATAATTTTATTTTATTCTTCTTTTAAAAAGGAAATTTATGATTTTAGTAAAAGATTTAATTTTTGCGTATCTATTAAAAATTTATTATATAGTTTCTTAATATATAAATATATATTTTTTCCAATTTTCCTTGTCCATCATAAATGTATAAATTAAAAAAAAATGAAAAATGAACAAAAGTCTGCAATTCCTTCCCCTTTACAATTACAGATGCATGCAAGGTGATGGCAGAGAGATCTTCAATTCGTCGCTATTCAGGGTTGGAATCCAATTCTTATAGTGATTGGATAATGAATTATCAAATAAATAAACAATAGTTCATTCCTAGTCCACATAGCAGTATGATAAAATTAAATCCTTTTGCTAATTAAATAACGTTTTAAATTCTGTATAATCCTGAAGTTTCACATGTATAAGATCCTATAAATTAACTATCAAAAAGTTCTAAGGTATGTTTCATAGGTTCGATTCATATATTTATAATTGTAAGATTTCTATAAAATCTTTACTTATAAGAGAGTTTTTGGTTTATTGGAATATTTATTCGGAAGAACAAAAGTTTCTAAATTTGAGGAAAAAATTGAATTATTCTATTATGTTTGGTTCATGGAAATTATTTTTCAATGAAATCTAGTGTCTATGTTTCCACATAAAAGTTCAAGATCAAGATTGAAAGAATTGCAATCTGAAACGTTTGATCAAGATCACAAACTCTAATAGTTATCCCTCTTCATGAAAGTCCTAATTCTTGACTTTTTGGGGATAAATACGGCTCCACAGGGAGTAGGGGTTCCAGAAATTAGTTAGCAATGTCTTGTTCCATTGCTACAAGAGGTTGTGGAAGACCTAGAAAAACTTCCATAAAAAGTTATATTTGCCCA